ATTTTAATCAGAAATTTGCACTCTAAAATCATGTCTTGTTAAGAAAGGTTTTGGTTATTTTTTAGAGTTTCTGAAAAACTGGTTTTTCAGAAGGCTGGATCTTCGAAGATCTATGGGAAGCCTCCATGGTCATATTCGACATCAGCATGCTTGATAACCTATAACTCCTATAATATTTTCGTTCAAGACCTTCAGGTTTAACTAGAGGCAAGAAAGGGTTAAGCTCGATCAACTGCGAAAGCGCTATGACAGAGGAGTAGTCCAACTGTGCGAATATCATTACCAATTGTCATTGCTAGTTGGTGTACTTCATAAGAAGTACATCAACGAAGTAATTCAATACATATATGCTGCTACATTAACATAAATATATGACTTCATTATTTTTTTCCGGTATTCATGTATGTTGTATTTCTTACTCACGTGTATTAGATTTTAACTTAGTCAGTAATAAATATAATTTGATCAAAGTTCAATTTTGTTATTTTTTCCACTTGTCGACGTTTTGTTTTTCGACATTCTGCTCTCTCGACATTTTGCACGACATTTTTCTTTTGTCAACACTATGCTTTTCGACATTTTTCTGTCGACATTTTGCTACTTCCCTTGGTACGGTCATGCACGAAAAGTTGAATTTTTTCACCATCACTACGCATATAGTGATTAATTAATTTCATAAAGAAGAACAAACATGTTTCTAATAAGCTATACATCAATCGATAGAGATCTAAAGTATTTTTGAAGCATATATAGAAGCTATTTATTGAAGAATTCAATAAGAGAAAGTTCTAAAATTTCCCACTTCAATTCTTTTACCAAATGTTGGCATTTTGTGTTGGCTTTCAGAATATGTATCGTTTATTGAGTAAATTTCATGCGAACTTGAAGAAAAGTACTTGACAATAAGAAAAACCCAAAGAAGCAGCAAAGTTTTGATCTTAAACTGAACTCTGTACTGTGCAAAATCAGTTTTTAGGCGAAACCAATATGTTGTTCGTAATCAGCATGAAAAACCGTATCCTCAGATATGTCATCGAACTTATAGAACAACAAGAACTTTCATCCACAATTTTGTCTATGCGTTTTTTGGGAAAGTTGCTGCCAAAGAAGAACAAAGGAAGCTTTTTGACAGGAAATTATTTCAGACAAAAAATATACTATTCGATCCATCTATTCGTCTTATTATCTCAAGCACTTTCCTCCAGGTTCGCATGAAGTTTACTCAATAAACGATACGTATTCTGAAGCCGACAAGAAACGACATCATTTGGTAAAAAGAATTGAAGTGGGAAATTTTAGAACTTTCTCTTACCGAATTCTTCAATAAATAAGTTCTGTACTTGTTCTGGTTCAAAAGTAAAGCTTAAACCAAAAACAAAACAATAAAAAAATACACACTGAAGATAACATCGAGTCATTGCACGACTTCAATCAGTGAGCAGAATGCCGACAGCGAAGTTGAAGTTGATTTTGGCAGTTCGTCTGCAAAAATCAGGTTCGTGTGTACGATCCTGGCTTCGTGCAAGGATTAATTTTGTGTTTCGATAGTTTGTTTCAGAATAATATAACGAGAATTTATATTTTCTGTTTTGTTCTGGTTCAAGATCAAAGCTTAAACCAAGTTCTATACATATTTCAGGAGTACTTTAGATTCTCCATCGATTGATGAAATCCAACTTTTCGTGAATGGCCGTGCCATATCAATCATTTTATAACAAAATAAAAGAGATAAGTACAGATACTATGATAGTGTTCGTTCATTTTATGCGAAAAAAGCGAAACGACACCTGAAGCTGTGTTTTCATAAGCAAAACTGCTTTCCGAAATTATTTCAAAGATTGATTTTTCGCGAAAAAACGATACACTAGTAGATGCATTGGTCAATGTATCGCCTGATAGAAAAAAAGAAAAAACGTTTAGAGCATAGGAGAGAATCCTCAGTTCATCCCAAGTTCTATCCTCGGTTCATCACAAAGCTCAAGATCAAGCTACGAAGTACTTACTAGTTAGACATTGTAGACACATTAAGAAGTTGCGCGGTATATTACTCGTCACGAGAAATATTCGCTCGGAAAATAATGAGAAATTTCGGAAAGCAGTTTCGCTTATGAAAACATAGCTTCAGGTGTCGCCTTTTGACTTCTGAAAATTGCAAGTTTCTACCATTTGTCATCTTGGAGTTATTCGAAATACAACTGAGTGCCTTGTATTTTTGGCGTCGCGGTAGTTTGTTGCCATTTATATCGACGCAAAATTTCGAGTTGATTTTCAGTTGGAATCTATATAATAAATAATCACATGAATATAATTAAGACCATGTGCAATGCACTTCCATGTAAATAATTATCTAAAACTGGAAGCGAAAGATGATTCTTCAGTACAAACGAGTAAGTTTTATTTTTTATTACCAAAGGATAATAAAGCATTGTGGTTCTGTGACACTGAAAGTGTGATGGCTTTTCTTTGATTACCATGCGTAGTGCTATTTCTGTCTCCGAAAACGAGATCAGAAATGAATGGCATGTAGACGTTTGTAAAAAATTATAAAGAAGATCTGTGTTTGCCTTTATCGTTTTATAATTTCCAAGTGCAAGAAAACTACAAAAAACGATTGAAAAGAGCTGTTTTATTTTATCTGTGCGTAGATACAGCTCTTTGTCACTTTTAAGAAATATTCAAAATCAAGTTGCTCTTGTCATCAATTGTAAGTTTATCATTGTGAACAATGGGAATTGAAGTCATCCGTAATTGTATTAAATTTTTGCATTTTGCTCCAAACAATATATATCAGAATACATAATATTTTTGGAAACCAAGTAAAATAATTTTAAAAAACATAATTTCAAGCTCGTCTTTTTCAATTGGTATTAATCATATACATAATATCATTTCTGTCTTCTGTCACACTCATTTAAGATTAAACTATTGTTATTGAAAATAATTTGCAGACCTTATTCTAACCGTGCGTATATCACATTAGAAGAAATAACATGGGAAAAAGGAAAGGAGAACATTCGAACAGAAATAAATATTCTTAGATAAAAGTAGCAAGTAAAAAGTAAAAAGACATCATACAGCTGTGATGACAAAGTCATTTTTACCCACGAGTTTCAGAAAGAGAGTAAACTTTACTTTAGTGCCTCTCTGCTGTTATTTATTTTGCTTATACATAGACGAATATGAAAGAATATGTGAGTTAAATGCCTGCTTAAGACGGAAGTGAAAAATAAGTGCGTACTTGATGAAAAAACGAATGAAATGACTGATTTTAAGAACAGGCTATATTGCATTCTGTGAACCTAATATGAAAATGTGTATATAAAGGGTGGATCAGAGTTGCCGAAACGAATTGATAAATCACTATTTTGATTGTATTGCATGTTGTAAGAAGTACTAGTAGAGCTAGAAAGCCAAGTAAATATGCGTTTTAAAGAGAAATTTTTACTATACTTTTCTGTATAACACAAAACATCTACAACATCCAGTACAATCAAAATAGCAGTTTATCAATTCGTTTCAGTAATTCTGGCCCATCTTGTATGTCCAACTATAGTACGGATTTTAGTCTATCCAATTGAATAATACCTTCCGAGCCTCCCAAAACCATTTCTTCATGGAGAAAAACTGAAATATTCAGAAAAATATGGCTCGCACTTTTCACCTTGCAATACAATCTCAAAAAGTCAATTTAATCATATAGGACAGTGCTTTATTTTTTTTGAGAACCTCTCAGTGATTTGAGTTTTTCCCCATGAAGAAATGGTTTTGGGAGGCTCGGAGGGTATTATTCGTGATCAGCTGGTTGAGCTGAATCCGAACATGTATAATAAAGTCAAAAATGAATTTCACTCAAAGTTTGCTTTACGTGCACTCACTCTTTCTATTTAATAATATTAGGAAGTCCTCCTACATACATGAAAATGTAGTTGAACAGAGATATCTAAGATGTAGACTGCCGGATATTTTATTATCTTTTGTTTACAGTCGTCACATAAACACATAATTAAGCTTCTATGATGAATAGTTTTTCAATTTGTCAATCAAGTCTTTTAATGTCAGCTTAGTCCAATTACCAGGTAACATTTCGTCGTTCAGTCGACAGCAGCTTTTACGAATATAATGTTTCCATCCTTGTCGTTTACTTCGACAGACAAAGAAACATGCAATATTTATATCTTTAGCACAATCAGGACATTGACGAGCAATTGGATTAAGGACAGCTGACATTTTTAAGTGTTCGCTAATTATATGTTGATCAATACTTTCAAGTATTTCATGCGAAGTATTGTAACAGCAACGGTCCTCATTAGCTAGGCGAACTCTTCCATAAATTTTACCAGTTAAATTTCCTTTTACACCATCATAGACTGGTCCACTGTCCGGGGTGTAATATTGTAGTTGCAGGCTATCTAACAAATAGCCGTAACCGTTTTTCTCCAGTTGTCTCAAAATGAATAAACGTCGGGTACTTCGGCTCCACAGTTTATCTTTATAGAGGATGACTTGCATTCTATGCAAACAACTAATATCCAGCAGACGATTTTTCAATGCAAAGTATGTTTCACTTACAGTCATGCCGCTTGGTCTCCCTGATGTTCCAGCAAAATACGATTAAAATTTTGGTTGAGCGTATTCGATAGGCCACGCCTTGGGTGACTGAACCGAACTTTGAGCTCTCTATATGTTATTTCTGTCATTACACAAATACTATTGCAAGTTTTCTGACCAAGAAAACTGACGCTAATTGCAGATTTTATACTATATCAGAGAAAAACAAAAGTGGGAAAAAACCCAAAGAGAAAGCGAGAATGGCTCATAACTGAATGAGTCATTCTCAGAGGGGTGTAATAGACAGATGCAGTTTAGGCGGGGAGGAGGGAAGGTTAGCCAAATATAATCAATAATATCATTTGAATCAGCTACTCAAATCCTATAAAATCCTGTATTTTGTTTTTTAATCTGTCATGGATGTGGGTTTTTTTCTAGAGTTTTTCATATATGGGCTTTTATATGAATTAAAAACCCCTATATTATTAAAAAAGAATGCTCGTGCCTATTTCTCTAATAACTTTTGATCAACGCACTTCGAAGATTTTCGGTTTTCTGCATTGCATAAAAACGATAACTAGGTACAAGTTGACATGAAAATACCAGCTGCAGGTGATATATCTTATTAGTTTTTGAAACGGTAGGTCGTGGTTCCGAGATCTACCAAAGTGACCTCTATGTGTCTCACATAGGTAATAGCCTATAATGTCCTCTACAAAATAAGAATTAAGCGATCCCTTAATCTTTTGTGGTTCAGATGTGTCATTGGATTTTCTTCAAGCTCTAGGATTGATATTTCCTTAAGTGTGATAATGTCGAAAATGAATGGAAACATGGGTTATGCATCACGCTGAGTCTTGTGGCAATGTTTGTTTTTCGGAAAGATTCGAAAACCTAATGAATATCTATATTAGGTGGAATCGCTCTTGCATGAAAATTCGATTCCTTCATTACCTCATACACGAGCTTATGCAAGAATTGTCAAAAAGCCAGAGCATTTTAAAGAAAACTTTGCCAACAAAAATTTTTCTTCAGAATGCTTCGTTTTTCTGAAAATATTTGAATAAGTTTCAATAAATTACTTTAAGGGCTCAGACTGCAATAAAATAAAAAATCTCAATTTTTCAGACATAGCTGGTTCCATTTGTGTTATAACTTGTGGGTATATGTCACTTAATGTCCGCTGTCGAACAGTGTTACAGAGAGTTCCAGCTTTCATTTTGCATCTTTTTTGAATAGAGGATCAGAATCATATAAAATTCGTAAAGTTTTCTTTTCTTAGCAATTACAAGTCTGTTCATCGACAACGCTTCAGGGTATAGAAGCAAAGTTCATCCTCGATTCGTTGACCCTTGAATGAAAGTGTCTTTTTAGCGATGATTTGGTTTTGATATGTGCTTAGCTTTTTAATCGGCAAGAGACACCACAAGTTTTTGTTTATTTATGAGTAAGATTGCATTAGATCCTGTGTTATATAACGTGTTGAAGGACATATTTCCAGGGATTTGAGCGTTAACATTAGCAGGGGTTTACTGATTTTATTTAAACAGAACACGCAAAAGCAGAAGAAAAACAGTAACTGAACGGAGTTTGTATAGTTTAGCAATAAGATTTTTCAAATGTGTATTTGACAAAAGTAGATACAATAGCTGAGTGTTAGATGCAACTATTATCCGTCCAAAAAGAGAATAACCCATGATTATTTTTGAATAACTTATATTATATAACATTATATAACAAAGATGGTATTATCTCTTGCATCTCAAAGGCTCATATTTAACTTCATTATCATCACAGAAGATTTAAATGCACTTTGTTCAGAATGACTTTTTTGTGTAAATAAACACTATACACCATTCTTTCTGTCCGTTACCTTGTTGTGCGCTTTCTCGTGAATCTCGTTTCTCTAATCTCGTGAAGTATTTTCTATGTGAAGTAAGAAAAAGGAAAGATTCAAAATATTCGACTTGATTGACTTAGATTTGTGCATAATCCTTTCACTGTTACCGTGCGGTTAGTTTTTTCTACATCAGCTGCGGAAATAAACCAAATCCTCTTTCTTTTTCCTTGTATAACTATCCAAAAATGGTCGCAACAATGAGTTACGTATATCTCAATACACTTTAATGATGTGTGCACATTGAATACTGCAAATCCACTACTGAACACTCGGGCAGGATCAAGAGATTACACAATATGACAGAAAACTTCTTCGATGAAATGCTAAAATCATTATTTGTGACAATGAAGTTGAATGATGATCCATTGTTATAAGATTCGTCTGTATTAAAAAATGAACTGACAAAAAAGTAAAGCAGTTAGAGATAAAATCAAACAAATAAGTTTACCCATAATAAACCGGATTTTCACATATATTAAAAGAACTGAAAGAGGAAATTCACTTTTTGATTATAAACCGCACTGTTTTTTCTAAAGATTTTTCCTCTGGTAAGCTATCAATGAAATCTTGGATTGTATTATCTAAACCAATTTCTGTATTACCATCATCATATAATAAAAAGTCACCATGCTCTTGTTGTTCTAATTTGTTTAATACTGTTTCAAATACATACTCAGTTAACGTCTGTTTCTCACATGGAATTTCGACTATTTGAGTTAAAATCCATTCATAATTGATGTCGATTGCGTTGCCCAATCTGTCTCTAAAGACAGTGAAGAGATATTCGGACTATAGAAGTCACAGCTAAAATTCGTTTTCTTACCGTCATAAATCTTGAGCCCTACAATGGGAAAAAAGTAACATTTCGTAAATCTATGTACCTAATGTCATATGTATAAACCACTTCCCTGAGAGTGAAACAAATCTTGAATTAGAGTGTAAAGTGGCTGTCTGTTTCAAAGCTAGGAAAGCTGCTGGAAATAAAACATTTTTGTGCTAACATGATTTGTAAACATATCCTTGCATGATCTTCGATTATTACTGTCACCACACACATGAATTCAGCTGTACACATAAGTTGTAATTCTATTACATCATCGATGTTGTGAAATATTTCTGTGTCATTTATTTCATCTAGAGACACCGATGTGTCAATACTAACATTTTTCATTTGTAATTCATAGAATGTTGGATTTTCTCCAATAATTAAACATCCAACTTCACATATTCGGTCACATGTTAAACTTTTTGCACCATTAAATTGAATGAGTGTATTTCTGTCTTTGACTAGTGTGACAGGAATAGGAAAGTTGTTAACATCTTTGGTTTGAAATGCAATCGACGTTGAATTTAATAATAATATCGTAGAAATCTGTGTTTCGTAAGAGAGTGCAAAATCATGTAAATATATCAGATATAGTTGAGATGAGACACCAAAAACTTGCCGTATGTTTGCTATTGTTACTGAACGAGAAAATCGTTTAACATCGTCATCTATATCAATTAATTTTTCATTATTTGCGATCGTTACTGTGCACGTTTTGTTTTCGTTAAGAAATAAATAACTGTTTTCACTCGTATTTGACAAGTACATGGTATCATCTATCACATCCATTGAATTTTTAGCCAAACAAAACTTTTCATTCTCGTCTAAGTTCAACCGATGACAAATATTTTTAATAATATCAGCAACTGACGTATCCTTTCTTTCAACGGGAATTTGCATTGGATAACCATCATCCGATTTTATGATAGTTATTACAGAACACATTTGAAATGTAATATCAGGATCATCAGAGTACTTATTAACAGCGAAGTTACGTGACAGAAAATTTGATAACGGTTGTTTTAAATCAGATATAATAGCTTCGCTTATAATAAAAACCATATCATCCGCACTTCTATTTAGACTTCTGACAACATCATGCAAACATGCTGTTGTCAATGTACTAATCGTAACTGATTCACATTCAGATTTAAAATTTACTGTTATTATGTCGTCAGTTTTTACTGCAAAAATAGATACACTTTCACAATTATCATTTGAGACACACATTGATGATGATAGAGTGTCATTATTGTCAAAAATACAATTTTTTATATTATGCCAAAATCGAAAATTAGTTGTTATTTGTAAAATTGAAAATTTTCTTAGATAATCATGTAGTTGTTGCCATTTTGATGTTGGTATAAAGACTTTGTCTGTTAGCTCAGGAATATATGGTTTGATTATGCTCATTTGACATAAATATTTTTCTCCTCTATTCACATAAATATGAACATCGTCAGCTTTTCTAATAATGTCCTGAATTGGTCCACAGTTTATACATTGACCATATTCGTCGGTGATACAAATATCATTATCATTATTAAGCTGTATTAATGGATACTCCTTGAACATTCTAGATAATACAATCTCAATATCTGTATCATTTTTTGCATAATAAACAATATCTTCATTATTGAAATGAACATGAATACTAGTAAGATATTGTTTTTCAATTACTTGGCAATTCGATGTAAAATTGTTTTGTTGCTGTTTATCCATATAATCAATCGTTATTCCAAAAGAATCAATTAAAGCATGTTTAGTATAATTATTTTTCAAAAATAACTGTTCTATGCGTTCATTAAATTTATCTACTCTACATAGTACACTTATCTCTGGCTGATTATTCGGAAGTTGTATTACATATTTCTGAGATTTCGACAAATTAGTCTGTATTGTTTTATTCAATAAAACTAATAATTCTTTTATTTTATTTGTCAGTTGATTTGATGGAATATCTATTGTCTTTAATTGAATTTCGAATAGTGAATCTTTAACGGTCGAAGTTAATGAACTGGAATGATCTATATTGCTTTCTTCAGTCGGTAGTTCATGTGCATTTTCTTGTTGTTGTTGCTGTTGTTCTACGTCTTCAGATTCTATGATAATTAACAAATTGTCGTTGTTTTCCGTATAATCTTCTTGTTCTGCAGCTTCGTTTTCTTCATCTTCTAATGATTTTTGTTCTAATAATTCTCGAAAAGAATTCATTGTATGACTTTTATCTTCATTTTCTTGTTCACACCAGAGTTTTGTGGGTATACTACTTTCTTCATCATTTAAAATAAGTTTTTGCATTAATTGAGTACGTAATTGTATCAGAAGAATACATATAGCCATATAATTTTCACATTTAATATCATCTGTTAAAAATATTAATAATGGATTGTCTATAGAAAGTAAATTACACACAGTTATTAATGATAATGATGATTGTTGAAAGAGATAATATTCAATTTGTTTTAAATCATCAAGTAAATTTGTTATTGCTAATATAGTTGTTTTTATTTCTTCTTCCATCATAATTGTTTGAAATATTTTCTCTAAATTATCTTTTAAAACATCGTCTATAGGTACACGTAATTGATCATGTGTATTGATAAACAAATGTTCATATCCTTTAATACGATTTTCAAATAATTGACGAATATATTCTATGTAACAAAGTTGAAAATTTTTTATTTCACATTGATACATTATATCTAATATGTTTTTGTCTTCTCCTCCATATTTTAAAACAAATGTATAAATTGGCATTAATGATAATTCTTTTTGTTTCTCAATTTCATTATCTATCATATAGCGTTTTAATTCATCTTTAATCATTAATGTTATTTGTCTTAAAATACGTACTCCATCATAGAGTTTATCAAGTATCATATTATTTAAATGATCTATATTTTCTTCTAATTGTTCATTATCTAATATATTTGAAAATAAATCATTGTCAATTGAATACACTTTATTATCATCGAAATTTTGCTTAATATCGATATTGAATATATATGGATGATGAATATCATGATAATTAATTTTAACATGTCCGAGTAAATAACGTCGTATAAAATATGATTGTACATAATTAAAATCAAAATTGAATTCTCCATCTTGAGAATGAAATAATGATGCCATTGATATTTGTTCATTCTCCTCACATTCACAATCATCTAAATAAATTATTCCTGTAATAATTTTGCTACTAGCTAATTGTGAAATGGCAATTGTTTGTTTATTAAATGTATCTAGTAAATTTTTAATGATACAATTATGTTCAAATATATCATTCATACATGTCTCCAATGTTCTCAACAAATTATTATTAAAATTGACAAGAACAATAATAATACGCATAATAATATCACCTTCATCACTAACATTTGTTGTCAATAAATAATCAATCGATGTTTGTTCATTAATTGAATGAAATTCTTGTGTTAAATGACAAGGTCCAGGTTGAATATAACCATTTGCAAATGAATGATAATTATTCACTGCTTGTATGCCTTTTTCAATAATCATATCATAAAATTTTTCATTTTGTTTAAAACGTTTTTTTCCAATAATCGTAAATTCTTTTAATGTTATATTTCTAAATTGTTCCTGATTAATAAGTTGACTAAAAGTTTGATGTAATAAAATATAAAATCGAATTAAATCATATGTTATTATTGTTATTTTTAATATATCTCGAGAATTGATTAGTAGATGAAGTAAAGATAAAGTAGATGTATTATATTTTGGATTATGAAGATGAGTAACAAACTCAGAATAATGTATAATGATAGATTGTTTATTTATATATTCTTGTAAATCTTTTTGAGTATTTTGAAGTAGTGCAATGTACGATTTATGCTCGGATAATATTTCAAGAACATGATAGAATACATTTGTTTGAAATTCTTGTTCAGCTCTACGAATATCTGATAATTCAGTATAAATTGGTTTAATCCAATTATCATTATTATGATTGATCGATATTGATGCAAATTGTTCAAAACATCGATTTAATAAAAGACGGGCATCATTCTGATTACAATATATTGATAAAAATGACATAGTAGCTAATAATCGAGCTCGAACAAAATGACATACACGAGTACGAACTGTATCTCCTACAATATCTTCACCATGATTTTCTATAAAATGAATTACTTTTGGAGCTAAAATTGGACCATTCAAATGTTCAACAGCATTTTTATCTAATAATAGATGCCAAGCAAGTGCACCATATGTAGCAAAGTAAACAACATAAACAGCTGGAGTATTAAGAAGTATCGAATCTGTCATTAAGAATTGTACAATTTCGCCATTTTCACTTAATACACAACCACAATCATAATGTACACCATTTGTCATAATTTTATGTGTTGTTGTTGAACCAAAACCATATGTATTTACTAGTTTATCGGGTGTAAATGCAAATGTCCAAAGAAATGTATTTGGACCGGATAAAATAATCATAGCCATTAGATTAATAAGAGCATGTCGAATAAATAATTCATCTTGTGACGTACATGTTACTTTAAATAAATCATTTAATGCATTTGATTCAAATATATTATTATCATTTCCCATCATAAATTTATTTGGTACTATTAGTGCTCGAAATACAGATATTTCTTCTTCTTTGAATTGTAAATTTGTATTGTTTTCCAATAAAACTAGTAGTGAATTTAGTTCATACGTTTGATTATAATAAATGTTCAAAAACAACATCATTTTAATTTCATTTGGATATAACCTATTATTTTCTAATGTTAATTGTTGGTTACACCAGTAAAGTAATGGTTCCCATTGATTTTCTAGACAGTTTTTAAATAGTTGACTCATTTGCTCATATGATTGATGTAATTTTGGAAATGCTGAACAATTTGATATACATGACGATAGTGTAAATTCAAGTTTATCATATGATTCAATTGATTTATCAATATTTTCTAATTTATTATTATTTGTCACAAGTATGTTAGAAATATACGATGTCCATTCAGAATTAATTTTAAGAAAAAGATCAGATTTTAACAGAGTTAACAGATAATTCCAACTACGTCGAATTATAATTATTGATAAAAAATGTTTCATATTATCATCGAAACCATCTGTTTGTTTTGATATAGGAACATATGCTTTTAAAAATGTTTTAAGCGAACGATGCCATTCCGATTGATTATCATCATAGTTTTTTTCGCAAAGTAGACAAGCTGTAGATTCAATTACTAAATAGATACTAATTGATTCATATAATTTTTTGATAACAATACACTTGTCTTCTGTAGAATTATTTGTAGGTGGATCGGAATCAAACATAAGTTTATGTACAAAATCACATGTCACTGTATAATTATTAAAATGTTTTTGAATATAGAAAAATAATAAATTAATCAATGATTGCTGTTGTAATATGTTTGAAGGTAGTGTGATGGATGGATGATATGGTGGAATATAATCCATTTCATTCATATTACTTCCTGTAATTGAAATACACTTTACAATAATAGGTAATAAGATTTTCAACATTTCAAGTGGACAAATTTTACTGTAATTTATATTTTGTTTTTTTATATTTAAAATTCGTTTTAATATCAAATCAGAAACTTGATCAAAGATAAATTGTTTCATAGGTAAACGGAATTCAGTAGAATTATTCAAAAATCTTAAAAAATCTTCTATTTCATTAGATATATCTTCTGTTTTTGATAATGCTTTAGTTTTAAGTAATGATAACAGCCACTGTACAATATCGAATAGAAGTGTTTCATGACCTTGTGAATATGTTTTATACTGAAAATAGTCTCGTACTAGGTTAACAATTATCGATATTTCATTTAAACATCCATTTTCAAATGACTTATTTAATGCGTGAGCATCAAGAATTTGTCGAACTAATTCAATTGGTTCCGGTGTATCTTCATTCAAAAATATTAAATAACATAGATGCATTAATTCGACTTTTGTCTTAATATTAAGTAGTTCTGTTGTATGAAGAATCTTTTCAGATGGATAATAACGTGAAACAAATGTGTACAATTGCATCCATAATGAACAATCATTAGTAGTACTATCTAATTTTTTCCATAAACATTCAAACATTTCATAAAATATTTTATCTTGATAATCTGTTCGATTGTTAATAGGACCATTTCTTAGTTCATTACATAAACTTATTCTATAATTCGTTGTAACTAATTGATCTAGTATACTACATGCTGCAGATAACGCAATCAAATGATTTTTATTAAATTCATACGATGTGGTTATATGAGCTATTAACCATATTTCATCATTCTCAATTAGAGTATCTTCATGTTGTTCTTGAAGCTGCAGCCAATGTGAAACTAATCCAATTGTGCCACCTTCTACAACATTATTATCGTTTATTCGACAATTTATAGCAATTAAATCATGCGCATAAGAGTCAGCTAATGTATGACCACACTGCTTTATTATATTGTTCAAAGTTGCATCACCTGATAGAGAATGATAAAGTAAATGACGAAATTGCACATTTGTATATTGACTCCATATTTTTTTCTCTTTTTCTAATGTTATTAATACATGTTTGTAGGAAAATAGTGTATTGTCTTCGACCAAATCGGTATCTATATAGAAATAAGATCTATATTCAGTGATACAGATATAATAAATTATGTGTGTCTATTATGTATGTCCGAGTTTTTAAAAAACTTCACTGTTAATTAAGGGCCTCTCTTCCGAAATTATCTCCGACACCGTACATTCGACCTTGACGAAACTTTCCATAAATGTTAGGCACCAGGAGTTACGGTAATGAAAAGAAATTTTTGTCTCCAAGTCTTACCGTTTAGGAGTTTTTCAGAGATCAAGGTCCAAAAAGGCCCCTAAACTGTGACCCAAGATTTTTTAATATATTTCAAGTTGTAGAGTTCGAGTTTCTTTTAAATCTATGTGTTCAGAAAAATTTTAATTGCATAAAGCATCCTATTATCGGAAGAACATGTTTTTTGAGGCTCCTAGAAAACTTGCTCAATATGCGCGAAAAGTCACTTTTGTAACAAAAAGCGATATAGATTCGGAAAGTAGGTACTTCAGTCTATCTTTCTATGTGCGTATCTCAAAACCGATTTTTCGATCGAAAGTCACCATTTCTGAGAAGAAGGAGGCCTTAAAGGAGCGTGTTGCTATGATAAGACTGGCTCCGATCGATCAAGGAGATCGAACTCCCTATATGCTATGTGGCACAACGAAGCAAGATGGAGAAAAATATTTGCTAACACAACTGTTCTTTAGGTGCCAAATGGGGTACTGAGTGTTAAAAATTTTAAATTATCAAAAAACATAAAACTCATTTTTTCTCAATTTTTCTGTTACGCTGAAAAAAGTATTACACTCAGCGTCTCATTTGGTACCTAAGGAACAGTTTTGTTAGCAAAAATTTTTCTCCATCGTACTTCGTTGGGTCACAATCTGTGGCAAGGCTCTTAAAAAATACTACTGTCCAACCTAAAATATACGATCAATAGTTATTTTTGGGTAACTCAAAGACGGTAAAAGCTAGAGACTTGCGGTTTTCGGCAATCGAAAGAAGACAGTTTAGTCTCTATTTTCACAAGCAAAAACGTTTTATGAATAAATTTGTGAAACTGGTTTTCCAGAGATACCCTAACAAACCGGTTTTACAAATTTGTTCAAAAAATGTTTTTGCATGCGAAAATAGAGACTAACCCATCTTCTTTCGACTGTCGGAAACCGCAAATCTCTATCTTTTACCATCATTGAGTTATTCAAAATAACAGCCTGCCTTATATTTTGGCGCCGACAATAATAACTTTCGTACAAACCCGAAATACTACGAAAAGTCGAGCTACAATAACTTCTTATGGATAAATTTTTGAAAAAGCGAATGCAAGGTTCTGTAGCGCTTGAAAATTTCTGTCGAATGAGCTGTTAATTCATAGTTTCTAACAAATTGTTAATTTAGAAATACAAGTGTAAGCTATCAGAGTAATACTAATTAGCATTACTCAGCACTAATTAATTTTAAATTAATACCCTTAAAACGTTTTTTTTCAATTTTTTTCATGAAACTATAACTATAAATACTTGGCTACCAAACTAGGCTAAAATGACGTTTCTACAACTATTTCTGACTGAGCTGTAAGCTTTTTAAAAATAGACCTAGCAATTAAGTTTTTTGCTAAAACTTTATCTTAATTAATTTATAATTCCGTGAATACTTATCGGCTCTCAGAAAACAATTCAGGATACATACCGTCAAGAAGTGTTTTCTACAATCTGAGAAGGTTAAACAGTACCTTTTGTGGGGGCCATCTTCCCCCCTCCCTCTTAAACAGAGCTGCTGTCTATGATATCTACCTGTAATTTGATTCATTGTTGTTGTTTTAATTCTCATAACATGACATGTGATACGTTCATGAAATACTGAGTATAAAAATGTTCTAGGAATCGATGGATAATGCATTGCTATTGGTATATGTGTTTTCGCATTAATTTTATCGTCCGAATGCAAATTTGAGATATCTGTGAGATCAATCATTAACTTGTAACTGTTTGTCATATCCGATATTACAGTTAAACCATAATTACTAACAATATAGCTTAAAATATGTGATATAAAAGTGTTGAATGAATTAGCACTTTCCTTGCGAATAGATTCAACGAGACCTTCAAACCGTCGACCACATAAAATATCCTTTGCTGTTTGATAAATCATAGTATACATTTTAGATTTTTGTTTCGACATATTTATGTGATAAGTATTAATAATATATTCTTGTAATTGTGGACAAGTGTTCATTGATTTTCGTAGATAATGTACACGTTCTGCTAGAGTACAATGTGGTTGATAGAAATTCGAAGCATTAGATATCGGTAATGTTAATGACAAATTTTCTGTAAATTTGGGTATTCTACTACAAAAATTCCATAAAGATTCATCAAATAAAACATCGAAATCCGATACAAGATCTTCACGATCATCATGATCATTTTTTGTCTCTAATACAGATAACATTGAAAAGATTTTTTGTAAATGAATTTCTTTACCTGATGCACAGGTATCAAAAAAATATATGTCCCAATCATGTAAATAGATGGATGGAAAACACGGTTGATGATATATTTCTTGTGCTGGTATATGTAATAGCATAATGAAATATTTTTTAGGCACTTTTTTCTGTTGCTGTGGATTTTGAAAAATAAAGTTGGGATGATTATTTTGATGTTTTTCTTTTTCATACATGGAACTGGCCTCTTTTTCACATATATTTATCATTTCTCTAACAAAAGCAATATGATTTCGTTGAGTACACGTTTGTCCATTGATTACCACAATAAGAACATTTTTGATCGTATTATGTTTATAACTATCGAATTTTTCTTTTAATTCAACTGCGTTGTCAATCGATCCCAGAGACAATACTTCCACGCATCTGCTATAATCCCCTAATAACTGCCTATTTGAACCTTGACATAAACCATTTATATATGCACTTGAACGAGTAAATAATAGGACTTTGGTCGTAATGGATGCTACCTGATCGTCTGAAGAGATCAGTAGTTGAACAAAACTTTTGATACTAAAGTGTTCTTGCTCAAAGAAGTAACTTTTAGATATCCAATTAGCAAAAGAATTTTCAAATGTTTGTTGTTTAAAAACAAGCGCTTCGGGTGAAATAAGCTGGATTAATTTTGATATTATTATTCTGAATAAACATTGTTCTAAATTTTGTGTGTTCTGTTCAATTGCTGACTTCGTTTTGATATTCAATTGTGTGTAATGATGACTGGTTAGAAATGTGATAGAAATGGCTGATTTTTTCTCTAACATTGTCATTTCTTGTTGTTGATTATTTTGAAGCATGTCATTGTCATCCGAGATGTCATCATTGTTTGTTGCTGTTATGTCTTCAACAATTGACACATGTTTTTGTTGTTCATGAATACTTCTTACCAGTGTCAGTAGTACTGAATATACAGTATTCTCAGTAAGACCATAAAAATATTGTTGGCCGAAGTGAGATATGAACGACTGAGATTTTTTTTCGATATTTTCCAGTATTTCCTGCTGTGTTCTTGGCAGTTTCTCTAATTGTAAACGATAGAAATCGTGAGTACTAAGCAAATATTTCTGGAATCGGCTGAGAAATGGAGCAGGGATTTCATGTAGTTCTGATCGTTTTATGTAGACGATACACTGAAATTGCTCGTGTACGACACAATCAAGTGTTTGAGCACCAATTGCGACTTTTGAAAATATTTTTCGTTCATCTCCGCTAGCCATAATACTAAAATTTTGATTGAACACATCATATAAACTACCATGTATTCTACCCGTGTTGATCATCAGTATTGTCTTGCCTGTTTCCATACATAATTTAATTGTGGATAATAGTTCAACATTTCTTAATTCATTATCAACGTCTGTTTCAAAATCAGACATTCGAAATACTGCCGTGTTTTCAGAGTTTGACTCCAGGATGCCAACTTCGAACAATAAATTTGCAACTGATTCGTCTTCACTTTCATCAATAATCAATTTATAACGGCCGCACAAACGCCGTCTTGAAGGTTCTAGTTTCATCGAGTCACGTAGCACTGATATTGGATCCCGATATTTAATATCGTTTGGCTTATTAAAACTACTGATACACTCGCTGACAGATGTAAAAAATATTTGAACTAATCTATCAAATTGATTTTTTGTTATTCCATTGAAATTATTTTCTAATGCGCATAATAAACTCGTTGGTGTGATACAACTTAAAATAACAGTCGAATTATTTTCTTGTCGGTGGAGATTCCAATTATCTTTGTGTGTGCTCGATGCTGCATTTCTTGTACTAATATCAAAACGCAACTCACGCAGCATATAAATGAAATCTCGATCATGAAATATATTGGGTATATCGTCACAGTGTAAAATCTGACGATATGCTTTACATAGAGCAAGAATAATTTTTTCTAAATGTTCATCAATATTATCATCAGGATATTGTAAACCGAGACAACCAAATGCCAATGTCAACTGGTCTTCTTCAGATGGTAACGATCGAAATACACACATCATTCGATTAGCATTTGCTGCATCAAACAGTTTATTAGAAACAGCCACAAACGCAACTTTACGTTCATCTAAATAGGGATGTAATACTTTAAGCACCATCTTTTTTTCATCTGGAAGCCCAGCTTCATCTAAGAACACTACGCATCTTGCGTTCAATCGATTCTGTACATAATCCTGCTCACGCTTTAAAGCTCGTTCAAAAACAGCTGCTATATCTTCTGCACGGCTGTACTTGGATCCTAGACAAAAAAATGCATCAACTGCTGGTAATGTTGTACAAAATGGCCTCGGTGATGCTAGCGATCCTTGAAGATTTTGCACTACAATTTGAAAACTGAGAGTTTTCGATTGTCCAGGAGCACCAATAATACACAATGGTGTTCGTGTAGCTATGCTTACAACTAAAGCAAAAATATGTTCTCGTACCGCCTGATTTAATGCGACTCCAGGCGGTAATACAAAGTTTTTTACCGTAACAAATTTTTCTAGTTCTTCTTGTACTTTCTTACTAAAATCAGGTATTGCACGAGAAATAACCATCGAAAATTCTTCACGTGTTGGACTCAGTAAATCGTTGCATTGTTGGCGATCGTCTTTTGTTGGTAAACGAAAATAATACACCATTGCAATAGCTAGTGCAATGCAGACGATTGGCTTTTTCTCGGTTTCATCCGTATATTTTGTTGTCCAAAAAAAGCTAACTATTTGAAAACATCGTTCAATCTCACGTTGACTGACCGAATTTCCTCCCAAACGTTTTAAACAGAATTCTTGAGCATTTACAATTGCATTACAAAGAGTATCACGTGCATATTCTTCAAGTGGCATATTTTGAATAGATTTGACATGATACATTTCAATATTTCGTTCAACGTACGTTCTTAACTGATTGATCGGTAACGTACCGTAAGAACATTTTAGAAATTGCAAAGTTTCTGGTAAGTCATGTACAAGATAATCTCTTCGATGAATAATATTTGACTGATCCGCTGCTGATTTAGCTTGGTTTCTTCCGCTGTAAGGATTTATTGCTGCAGTAAAAAATATATTATTAGGTAATAATTGCCCATGTAGTGATCGATCCATAAACATCTCTTTAAATAATCCTAGACAAGATGATGTATTGACTTCATCAAAAAAAACTACAATTTCCATGATATTTTGTTTATTTTCAACAACTTGCAACTGTCTAGCAAGTGTGACAATCGGTTTCATAAATTCTTCCAAACGTGACTCTGTTATACCTGGATGTAGCAGTAAACGATAAAATAAAGGTTTTACATTTGTAAAGTTTACGTATTCTTTGAAGAGTTTTATACTATCGTTCATTTTTAATATATCCGTATTCATTAACAGCTGTTCCAAACGTTTAGTTGGCTCTAACAGACACGAACTGGCTAATCGAGAAGCAATATGTTCATACAACTGTGTCAATAACATTTGTCGTGTAGTCAACGTTGATTGAACATCGTTTGTAGCCGTAGCAGATGTCGATGTATCTGCAACTAAAAGTATAATTTTCCACAGCTTTTCGAGAACTAATGCCGGATATTCAAAGTTCTGTAAACACTTTTTAATTAGTTTTAATGCTTTATCCATATCGCTTTCACTAAAGCTTTCGTTATCATCGCTTACAGGGATTAAATTCAACATTTCTTCATCTGTATCCATTTCTAAGTCGTTTGTCGCAGACGATTTTACTAGTATGAAAGTATGCACAAGGAAGACAATTTTTCTAAGTAAGAGTGGTTCCTGTGTTTCCAGTTTACCGATAACATCTTTCAATAGCCATATACTTAGTCGTTCTAATATACATGGTGAAATTTCCAGATCACGATCATTCAGTAATTGTGAATTTAACAAGAATGAATAGAATCTCAATAGAAACGTTTTTCCAACACCTAGAAAATACGTACTATTTTTATCATTACATAGACCCATAGTCTAGTTTGCTTACCTGTGTCTCCTTCAATGATGAGTGGCATACGGGTTAATTTTCGCTCCTGAAGATGGAATAATTTATATGCAATATTTTCAGTTAATACGAATTTTGTCTTAGACAATAACTGTACAAAATGATTTTCTGGAATATTTAATAACCAAGAGAGCAGTACTGGAAATGGATCTTTGCCAACAAACATATTTTGTAGTAAAGGATCTTCATTATTGAATAGACATTTTATTTGATGTGATACAATATCCCAGTTGGGATGTAATAGCTGCAGTGAAAAGCCGCGATCATAAACTAAATAGACTTTTCGAAACTGGTCCATTGAAAAATCAATTCGAACAAGACATTTGGCTTCTTCAATCATTTGCTGTATAACAGTTGATCCTAGGTTTGGTCTTGTTGTATTGTAACGATAGTATGGATTAAGAAAAAATTGAAAACGTCTAGAAAGAAATTGTATAAAACTTTGCAAATAAATTTTGTTCAGATCGAATGCATTCAAAGCATTATATATTTGAACACGGCATTCATTATGGTTGCATACCACAGGAAAGTCAACTGGTTGATCATCAACAGATAACCTATTAATTTTTTCTTCATGAAAAGCTTTTAAGAATCGGGCAACAAGTTCTTCATTTTGTCCAATTTCTAATGGATAATTATCCTCGGTAATTTCTTTAATATCATTCGAATTTATAAGCGATAGTAAAGGAAATGTTTTTTTAAAATTGTCAAAAACTGATAATTGTACGCTGTCTAAGTACGGTATTTCAATTATAAATTTGCACCGTGTGGAATTTGACAATGAAAATGTAACACCACTGGCAGGATCTGTCAATGTCCCACATATAAATAGAGAGAAAAATGCTCTATTTATTTCTTGAAATGGTGCATTAATTGAAATATTAAGATAAATTGTTTGTTCTCGACCGGTCGTAATAACATTGGCGACAAATGCTTTTATTAACGAAGATATATTTACATTATCATTAATACTAATGCATATTGTATTATTTTCTGAAAGTTGAGAACGTATATTACGTGTTTTACCTAAAAGAATAATAAGCAGTGGTTACCTAGAAAAATTTCGATGTAACAAGAAGGACCACATAGCATTCTGAAAATGCCAACGCGCGGTTTGTTATGCAAGTCCTAAACGTATTCCACTGAGGGGTATGAGATATTGTCGCGTATATAGCGAATATAACTTCGAGAATTTGAAGAGATATTGTAGAAAATACTTAGGGCATACCAAAAGTTCGTAGTATGATACTTTAATACCTCATGATAAACTTTAAGTAACTTTCTTTCTATATAGTTTGATAGAGAAAAGAATGCTCTATTTTTCTATGCTATTTGATCATACTTCAACTAATTTCATAATAAAAAATATTCGATAAGATCTGTTTCGTTTGCATACATGCTGGTTGTATTAATATTAATTGTAAAAATTGTAAAAAATACGAGTGAGTATTTTTCGAATAACTTTTGTTAGAAACAAAATAGGGAACTGCGGTTTCACCGTTGGAAAGAGGAGATGAAGATACATCGAATCGTATATTCCAGCATTTTCTGATTTGTTTTTTGTAAGGTTTTCCATTGACTTTTTTAAGAACAAACAAATCTGGTAAGTTATTTCCAGTGAATTTTGAATTATCAAGCATAAATTCAAACCATGAATCGAAGATCTACAAAGTGCGAAAGGTTGAGATGAATAATATGTGTTGTAGTCGAGCCTCTAATACGATTTCCTAGCGAAATCTATAAAAACCATCACTATTTTTTGCTTTTTCGTTTTTTCATAAAAAAACTATTTTTGCAACAGTTAGAAAATTGAATAAAAAAAACATAAGAAATCATATTATAAAACCTATAATATACTGTTTGATGCGTTTTTATCTACTCTTTCCAGTAGTGAAAACCGCAGCTCTCTATCTTGTTTTTATCAAAAGTTATTCAAAAAATATGACGTAAGTTGACGTATGACCAAATAGCATAGAAATATAGAACATTCTTTTCTCTATCAAACTATATAGAAAGAAAGTTATTTAAAGCTTATCATAAGGTATTAAGGTATCACCTTACGAACTTTTGGTATGCCCTAAGTAGCTTTATGATATGAGAGATAAAGTTTAAGCTATAGTTTAATAATTTTAAGAGATAGAGTGGTATATGACTACGTGTCTCAACCTCACTTTCCGCTTCACTTTAATCCAAGCAGTATCCCACAATGTCCTTTTTCGTGACAGTCATCTCGCATCTCCCATCCCCACATAATGACGAATTCCACTTCTGAAATTTTCTTTTAGGTAATTGCTGACTACATTCTCGTTTCTTTTTGGCATTCTCCATAGCGAAACGCAAAAAGGATTGATTTTGCATCTTACAAAAAACTTATTTTCCGTTTTAAAAGTAAAAACTGCATTTTTAACCATGGCAAGATACAAAAAAGCGCACACTCGGAAACGTCCACGAAAAAGCATACTAAAAAAAGCGTCGACAAAAATTCATCTTAGCATAGAATTTAAGTGCATACTGCATGGACGACTCGTTTCACTGCACTAGCTGATCTCAGAAATTACTGATTTGCAGCGACAGTGGATCCGTCCAACAGATCAGGCGTGCTTCCAAAGTATAGTGCATTCAAAAGTGAGTAAAATATTATTTAGATATCTTTCGAATTTTGTTTTTCCCTGTAACAAAGACAACTTAAGAAAAAATTCATCCAGAAAAAAACGTCTGGTAAAAAAAGCATACCAAGATGTGACGAAAAAACCGCCCACTAAAAAGCGTCAACTTTTGGATGCTTTTGTTTTTGTCGCGTGTTTACAATGCAAAATGCAAAATCTAAATATTCAAGAATTACGTTTTGTAGTTCCAGTTTCTGCTACCTACATATTTAGAAAGTTAGATATTTAGATATTTACATTTGCAGTTGATAAAAGCGAGAGAGTGAAGGTAAAGTGATCTTCATCATTGAAAATTAAACACTTCCATCCTACATAAAAGCTGAAAACGTAAAAGCGGGTAGAGCCAGGGGGCAGCTTCGGGAGAGTGACTAACAACGGAGAAGCGCATCGAGTAATCATTCCGTTAACTCAATGTTTCCAATCTGAACAGACAGCTCTAGACAGTCCTCACTTGGAATGCCAATGAAACGTAGCGTTCTTGACGGCAGTGGGTCTAAGAGAAATCTAAATATCTCAATACACCAGACAAAAAACTGGGAGCTCAGAAACAGAGGTGATGATAGCGAAACTCCTCGATTAATTATACTAAAAATACGTTCAGGTATGATACGATCACATCTGAGTAAAAATCATGTACATGCTTAAGTTGAAGCTGAAGTGATAGGGCTCCAAAACAACAAAGAGTTATAAAGACAAGTCAATGAAAAAAGTTGTCATAATCAAAACGCGAGAGGGAACAAACTAGCAGAAAGCTAAAGACATCGATCTTTTATCAATCAATATACCTTTAATCAAAGAAAGTTAAAGACGGGCATTTATCAATCAATTATCTAAACTATAAAGAAGAACAATTGTTTAAAACGATAAATTTAGGACAATAAAATATCCGCACATCACTTGTATTGATAGTAGAAGTTGACTTCAAGCCAAATATCGGTGAAAGTCTGGTGGAAGTTCACTACATTGACGAAAGCATACGAGGAAGCTGGTGGGAATTGGCGAGAGTTCATTGGGTTCTCACCAAGTACCAAAAATCCTCTGCCAAGAATGTAGTGAATTTTGGCCAATAATGGCGAAATTCTACTGGAGTTTGCCAATTGGCGAAAATCAAGTGATCGTATTAGCAAGGGTTCTCGAGGCATTTTGTTCAGTAAACTTCACAGAATACGTCTTGAAAGTTTCATCGTTAAATGAAGAATATTGGAGAAAATTCAGCATCACGCGGCTCTTTGGAACTTAAAACACGAATATGTCAGTGCTTTTCCGAACCCCTCGGTAATGTTTTGAAACTTTTTAATGGTGATATTTCTTACTTAGAATTGAATGTTCTCTCAAATGAGATAGATCTCGAAGTTTTCGAGGGACATCAGTGTAATGCTAGTATTTTCCCCCGAAGAGCCACCCGAATATCTACTTAGCACAAAAATTGAAAGTGCGAATTGTTAGGTGGTAATTCGCACATCTCACTTTATTTCGCAAATCGCACTTATTTCTTATGTATATGTTCACATTCAGTATTTTTCTTCATTCTACTATTAACCCTTTAACGGGCGAATTTTGGATAGCGAAGTTCTGTTGCTGCTGATGCTGCAGTCAGGTAGGCCGTGGCTTAGACTATCATGCACGTTGATCGGGTCAACAATATTGAGGTACTGCACGCGTGATGTGACCATTTGTAGCGATCAACATGAAAATGCATAGAAATTT